CGGAAACAACAGTCGATGATAGTGAATAAAAAACCTCGATTTCTGAGATTAAAATTGAAGGGTGACACTCTCACTGACTTCCTGTCAAAACGCCTAGTTAAACTAGTCAATAGAACACTTTGTTTAGGTCAAATTCACATGTCTTTCAGTACTTGACCAATCCTTAGTTCAAGGACTACAGGATAGCCTACCTAATCTCACCTCTTCATTTTGCATACATCGATTTAACTGTGCTTATGGGACACGTTACATAGGACTTGCGATTAGACAGGAGCATCAACGGTGACAAGAACATTTACAGGTTAGGCTTGGAGAAGGTGAAGTAAAATTGGTGGAAGTCGTATTCAAGAGCACTGAATAGACGCATGGCATCACAAAGACGCTAACAGTCTTTATCTTTTTCAGTGACGTCCTACTACTACTACTACTACTACTACTACTAATACTAATACTACTACTACTCACACTACTACTGAAATAAACCACCAAATTTAATTATTATGACTGGAGAGGTGAGTTCTTATAAAATAAGCACCTTTTTTATTGGCTACCTCAGTTATTGTTAAGGTGACTTTCAGAGTTATTCATCTGTTATAGTGTGACTTTGAGGGCTACCCTAACAACTGCCAAAATAACCAATCAATTTGTGATATTTAGACTGGGAAGAAAATTCTCCATTGAATAGAGGAACGTGATTGGTTGTTTCATCAGTTGCTAGGGTGATCTTGGAAGTCACTCGTATATTATTGTGTACCACTTTTGAGTTTGGTGCGAAAATTTGTTGGGGGAGAATTTGAATAACATTTCAAACTGTCAAACAATTTAGTAAACTATGAAACTGATAACTTCGCAGGGACCGTAAATAACTACTAATGTCGTGAGAAACACGATAGAAGCAACACTGAACATATGAAACAAATAATTTGATACTGATGATTGTTAGATATACTGAAATCAGGTTGGTATTCATCATAAACTGTTCAGTACGTGGGAGCACTGGACACCTATTTCATCTTAGAATGGACTTTTCAGTAATGTTCACCAACCACCCAGCGAACGAACCAATAGACCATTGAGTTCAGACCGAGTGACTCAACAGTAACGTGCTGGCTGCGGGACCTGAAGGCCGTGATTTCGATCCCTGGCTGAATCATGCATACGCATTGTTGAAAAGTTCCATATATCAGGACGAACCTGTAGTCCAGTGCTTACAGGTTTACAGTGTTCCTTCGACTGTTTACTGCTGGATCATGAATTCGATTCCGTGTCGTATCGTTCATTTGGCATAGGTAGACATTCCATTCTTACAGGAGATCGGTCGCCGCTCAAATAGCTCAATGATAACTTCATAGACTGTAAAACTAGATGTAGCAAATTTCAACCTCAGGTAGGACACGAGTTCGTCAGGGTTGTAGATATGCCTTGCTGACGAATGCCAACAAGCAGGAAATCTATGTGGTACCGAGCTTCCTGCCAACCACTTCTAACTAACTAACATATACCAAAGTACACCGCGATGCTGAGCCTCCTAGCTTGCTGGCCGTATTGCAGATATGATCGATATAATTCAGTGTGCCCTCAGGACTAGACAGGATGAAATTGGTTACTCTCCACTGACCAATCACCGTTTATGATGTCTGAATTCTCATTGGTTTGTTAACCGATGGATATTCAATTCAAAATTAACTTTCAGTTAGTTCAGTCTTTAACAGCGGAAATTGTACACTAGTTTATAGTATTATGAACTTAAAAAGTTATCCTAAAAAAGAACTTAACCAATTTTCATTCATGTATTCGAGAAGGCGATATATACTACTTAAATATATTCAATAATTTGTAAGAGACTAACATGAACTTACAACAATTTAGCTGATACTAGGTGATAATTGAAGGTGAAATGAAAATTTTAACTGCGGCCGGATTCTAACTAATGGATGCTCCATCAACTGAGCTACCAGGTTCAACCAGATTTTTATTTCACTCCATCCAGTCACCAAGGATTTTTCCCAACTACCAGCTGAATTCGTGATCCCGTTACTACCACTTGATGATTCTCACACTGACTGCCCAGTCAGGACTTCTCCTCCCAAACCAATTCTAAGTGAGTTAGACGGGGGGGGGAGGAGGAGCATCATACTGGTTCGCATTTTGACTTTATGAGATAACAGTGGTGGTTTGGCAAACCTGTAATGGTACTGGATAATGAGTGAAGGTGAGATGACAGTTTGGACCGTGGTGACCTTCAAACCAACGAACAGAAGGTGACCGGCTCGTTGTTCTACCAACTTAGCTACCCTTGGTGATTAAAGTGAAATGCAAAATCTGATCAGTAGATGGACCTCGTAGCTCAGTTAGCAGAGCACCGGGGTTTGTGAGAATTCAATGATTTTTCAAGTTGGTATTCATCATGAACTGACATCAGCAAGCAAGGTGTACCTATAAGTCCACTCACCCCGCCAGGGATAGAACCTCGGACATCCAGATTCCGTGGCCAGCACGTCACCATTGAGCCACTGGATCGGAATTCAGTAGTCCATATTTCCTACTACTGTCAGTTCACGACATAGCGCGATCATCACCCAATGTCGTCGTTAGGTATTTATCCTCACTGCCAGCAGGTTTTCCTCACCAGTCACAACTTCTCGTTGGAAGGTCAGAAATCACCAATAGAAGCTAGTCGCAAATGATCACTAGACTAACTGAATTTGGGAGTTTGTGAGATCATGGATGCTCACTGTTAATAAGTCCCATAGTAGAACGAAACAGCTGTTCAATGCTCCCAGGTTTCCAATGTTCCTCCAACTAATATTAGTCCATGATGAATATCAACTTGAAAAAGAGCCAGTGTTTATTGGTTCAAATCCCGCCACGGTTGGAATTCTTATTTCACCTTTGTTCATCAATACTAGTCTGCTAAATCATGTGTACTATCTCAGGTAGTAGAAATGATAATCAATATGATTGGAATGAGAAGTTTTGACTAGAGGCAACTTGTGTAAGTGCAATGAAGTGGTAGTGACTGACTGAAGTGAAATACAAATTTGTTAGCAGTTGGACCTCATAGCTTAGTTAATCAGCACTTGGATGGAAATCCAGTGTTCGCTGATTCGAATCCTCATTTCATATTCAATCATCACTTAGTATAATATACTAGTCTACCAAATCATGACTACTATGTTACATAGTCAAGATGATAAACAATTTAATTATGTTAAAGATGAGAGTAATTATTGCCTTCACTGATTTGTAGTTTACATACTCAGTTAAATAAATAATTATTGAATGCTGTAATTGAGATACTTCATGAAATGAAAAAAATTGTGTAAAGTCTAATGTGTAACTGTTAAATGTAGATAGGATGAAATAATTAAAAAAAAATCTCCATTTTCTTGTTTCTCTACTTCCAAATCGTACTCCTATCTGCCTACCTTCTCTTCATTTGAGAATGGAATAAGCCTTGAAAGAAAATTTCGATTGCTCTAAATTCTTTTTATTTTTACTATCTAAACAGAACTTTAGCTCTCAAGTACAAGTACTCCAAATACTTCATATATATATTGAAAGGATATTAGATTTAAACTAGACAGAAAGAATGAAACAGTATGAAAAAAATATTTAAGATTTAGATATTGGTCATTATGAAACTTTATTTCAACAGTTGTAAACTATATTCAAATTTACGTCTAGAACAGCTATATTCTTGTATTTTGAGGTTAAGAAGAACTTATGCCTAAGGATGGACATCAATTAGAGAATCATTGAAAACCTTGGATCATATCCTAGTATATGATTGCTACACTGTATACCCAGGGATCGAACCCATACTTTTCAAGTTTCACATTGAAAGAATTAAACATCTCGCCATGAAATCAGAATTCTATGCTTTATAGGTTCTAATTTCTGTCAGTTTGTAATATCGTGCAAATATTATTCAAGGTCTTCAGTTGGGATCCACTTCTCTTCCGATTGGTTGACCACACAGGTCACAGCTTCTCATTAGAGCTTTATGATGTCCATCTGGAAGTAAGTCACTAATGAGCACTATACAGTAATGTATTTTTGAGATGAATGAAGATTTTTAGTTTAAAGGTAGTATTCATCATGGATTGGCACCAGTTGGGGAACCGTTGAAAGTCTGGATGCACTGCTTAGCTGTCTGGTCCTAGTACGGGACTTCTTAGTAGTACTAACCCACTACCCGGCTACGGATCAAACTCAAGACCTTCAGGTTTTACGGTGAACGCGTTAATCATCCAGCCACTGGGTCGGTTTTCAGTGATTTACAATTTCCGACTATCACCCAAGGTCTTCAGTTGGCATCCGCTTCACTTCCAATTGGTTGATCTCAGAGGTCAAGACTTCTCAGTAGAACTTCGGGACATCCATTTGGAATCATATCAAGAATGAGGATTT